CACGCTCACACACACACACACACACACACACACACACACACACAGACAGACAGACAGATCTGTGATGCTTGGTCTCTAGATACGGCTCGGATCTCGCTGTCTGGATAAGATCCTGAGATTGAACAAGAAATGCATGCTTTAAAATAAAAAATTATGTTTTTCACTGCAAATTAGATCACATTTTTGAACAACCAACACACGTCATTTACATTCAGACCAAAACATACTACTGCACTACCGTCAGCTTAAAAATATAAATATATTTAAAGTATTTAAAGAAAATATCAAAATAAAACACTTGCTAAAAATTAAATCATATAAAAAGTCAAAATTAATCATTTTAAAATAAAAACATTCAAAAATACTCTCCAAAAAACGTAAATCATAAAAACATCAAATTAAAATAATTTGGAAAATACAATCAAAATAAAACACTTCCTAAAAATGTAATCATAAAAATGTGAAAATTAATCATTTTAAAGTAAAAGCACTCAAAGACCCTTTCAAAAAATTTAAATCATAAAACTGTCATATTAAAATATTTAAGAAAAAACAATCAAAATAAGACACTTGCTAAAAATAAATTAAATAATACAGTCAAAATTAATCATTTTAAAGTAAAAACATTCAACAAAAAAAACTTTCAAAAATGTAAATAAGAACATAAAATTTAAAAAAATACAATCAAAATAAAACACTTGCTAAAAATAATTAAATCATAAATTTTAAATAAAGGACCAAATCTCAGAATTCTATTTAGCTTTAATTTATATTTTAATCTCAGGATTTATTAGTTTTTTTAATATATGTTTTCTATTTAGCTTTAATTTATATTTTAGTTGAAGTACTTAAACCTAAAAAACTAGCCTTGGCAACTGAAATAAGTTTTTCATCTAATATTTAATTATTTTAAGAGTTTTATTAATCCTGAGATTGTCTTTTAACAATAGATTCATGCTTTAAAATGTGTTTTGCTGGAAATGAGGTCACACAATCACAATCATAAAAATGTAAAATTAAAATGAATAAATAATTTAAAATAAAGCATTCAAAATTAACCACTTGCTAAAAAATTTATAAAATAAAATAAAAAAGATCAAAACATTATTTTTTTTAATTTTTTATTAATAAAATTTAAAAAAACTTGGCAAAACTTTAATGTAAAATTAAGATAAATAAATATAAAAATAATAAATACATAAATATAAATAAATATATAAATAAGAGAAGTTTTAAGAATAATAAAGGACTCAGTGTGCTTGCTTTGCTAAACTTGTAAGGTCCAAAATTACATTATTAGTGAAAATTCTTCTCATCAACATCAACACCCTGTCGAACAGCGACTTTTTAAAAGATTCATAAATCAGCCAAATCAGGTGTGGCTTTAAATAAGACCAGTTTAAGTGAAGGGTTAGATGCCTGTTATTGTACATACACAGCAGCATTAGATCTATATGAAAAGCACTGCATTTATGACACGTCCTCACTAAAGTCCCACAGGACACTCCGGATGTAGTGGGGCAGAAAGCTCCAGATGTCCAGTCACACACACACAGATCCTAATGAGGAGGAGGTAAACTCATTTCCCATGGGCTGATGCTGACGGGCTCGTCGTCTATGATAATGCTCCGTCTCAAAGCAGAATGAGATGAAGCAGACGCAGTCAGGAGACTCTCTTCCGCTTACTGATCTCTTACTGCAACATTCATGCATTTGGCAATCGCTGTTATCCAAAAAACAATTCAAGGTGAACGTTTGATAATCATATGCTTTCCCTGGAAAGCAAAACCATGCCTTTGCTGTTACTCGTGCAAAAGACGGAGAGATCAACGCATTATTACATGCATTATTAATTATACTGGCATTACCATTTCAAAATATATATATATTTTTTTTTAATTACATTTGATCAACTATCCGTCTTCAAAAATATTAAAAAATAAGTTGTTTTAATTAAAAAAATTTTGAAATAAAATATAAATATTAGATGAAAAACTTAAACATGTTGCTTTGCTTTTTGTAATTTATATAGTTTTTTATGTATATACAGTTTTTATTCATTTTTATTTCAGTTTTAGTTTAAGTTGTTTTAGTAGCTCAAGTTAAACTTTTTTTTTTTTCTTTGGCAACAAGCTGAAATTAAATAAATTTAAGTTTTTTAGATTTTATTTTAGTTCATGTTCATTTCAGATTTTAAAAAAATGTTTGTTTTTTGTTTTTTGTTTTAGATTCAGTTAACTATAGTAACTCTAGTGTGTGTGTCTGAGAGGATCATCGCTAGACAGGTTAAATATTAGCAGATAATGTTACAAAACCAATATTGTTTAACCAAAAACCAACTGATATTAAAGACAGGAAAGACTATTTCATTCATATTCTGCTCAAAACGCAATCATGCGAGCAATGAGTTCAAATAAAGATAGTTATATATTATATTTTGAGTGTGTGTGTGTGTCATAAAACTAGTCCTCTGTGTCAGTTTATGCTGTTGATAAACACCTTTCCTCTTCTTGCTTGTAACTTCATTAGCCCAACCTCTATTGGGTTACAGCTTTACATCAGCAGCCAATCAGAGGACAGAGACAGAGACATGGGCAGAACAAGCAATTAGCCATTTAAATAATAAAAAATGAAAAATAGACATTTAAATAGTAAAAAATAAATAATAAAAATGAAAAATAGTCATTTAAATTATAGAAATAAAAATTAAATAGAAAATAGTCATTTAAATAATAAAAAAAATAAAAAGTCATTTAAATAATACGATAAAAAATAAATAAAAAGTCACTTAAATAATAAAAATAAAAACGAACTGCACCGGCTGAGCGTCCGACACCAGAATAACACGAGAGAGAGAGAGAGAACATGGAGGGACAGTATCTCAAGAGACACGCTCTGAAATTCCCCATTTTACAACAAAATATCATCTCAAATCCCAGTGAAGCAGCCGTACATCTAAATGAGACGGCAGCATCTGGTTTCAATCAGCTGCAGAGTGAATTCCAGAAAACACGGCCTGAGGAAAGGTGAGGCTGGGACAGTCTGAGAAACGCTCGCACGTCTCTGTCATGGAGAATATTTTCAACGGCGTGTAGAATGAAGCTTCATTAGCGTTTGGCACTGAGGCCCTCATCTCCAAAATAACACTGTCCCATTGTTTCCAATGGATCCACAGAACACACTCTTCAATCCAGAAGAAATGAGTGAAGCAAGTCTTTGCGACTGGTTTACTGGAAAGCTGAGTCATCTCATCTCACTCAAGCAGAAAACACGAGGAATGGTTCATCCAAAAATGAAAATATGCTGAAAAAGTGCTCACCCTCACTTTGTTTCTTCATCAGATTTGGAGAAATGTAGTGTCTCAGCAATGGCTCCTCTGCAGTGAATGGGTGCCGTCAGAATGAGAGTCCAAACAGCTGATAAAAACATCACAATAATCCACAAGTAATCCACACCACTCCAGTCCATCAGTTATTAAATAATAAAAAATGAAAAATAGACATTTAAATAGTAAAAAATAAATAATAAAAATGAAAAATTGTCATTTAAATTATAGAAATAAAAATTAAATAGAAAATAGTCATTTAAATAATAAAAAAAATAAAAAGTCATTTAAATAATACGATAAAAAATAAATAAAAAGTCACTTAAATAATAAAAATAAAAAGTTCATTCAAATAATTACAAAAAATATAATAGTCATTTAAATAAAAAAATAGTAATTTAAATAATAAAAAAATTAAATTTAAATAATATGATAAAAAAATAAATAAAAAGTCATTTAAATAATAAAAATAAAAAAGTTAATTCAAATAATTACAAAAAAATTTATATAGTCATTTAAATTAAAAAATAAAAAAAAATAGTCATTTGAATAATAAGGAGTATTTATGTAAAATCTGGTGTTATGGATAATCATACACTTTTAAGATCTATAAGAAGTGATTTGAAAGACGTGTGAAGCTGGATATATTTATATCTGTCTGTTTGTTCCTTTTCCAGTTCAATATATTTAGAAGACATGAGCAGAATGAACTGTGTGTCTATTTATAAAAGCACACACACATTTCCATTCAGGATCAAACTGTATCAACATAATCCAGCTCTGAATGAACTCAAACACACGCTCAAGACATAAAGCCGAGCTGCTAGAGGCCCAAAGTCCTGCCGGCTGCAGATTCTTGGCATTCTTTGACCGAACTGCACCGGCTGAGCGTCCGACACCAGAATAACACGAGAGAGAGAGAGAGAACATGGAGGGACAGTATCTCAAGAGACACGCTCTGAAATTCCCCATTTTACAACAAAATATCATCTCAAATCCCAGTGAAGCAGCCGTACATCTAAATGAGACGGCAGCATCTGGTTTCAATCAGCTGCAGAGAGAATTCCAGAAAACACGGCCTGAGGAAAGGTGAGGCTGGGACAGTCTGAGAAACGCTCGCACGTCTCTGTCATGGAGAATATTTTCAACGGCGTGTAGAATGAAGCTTCATTAGCGTTTGGCACTGAGGCCCTCATCTCCAAAATAACACTGTCCCATTGTTTCCAATGGATCCACAGAACACACTCTTCAATCCAGAAGAAATGAGTGAAGCAAGTCTTTGCGACTGGTTTACTGGAAAGCTGAGTCATCTCATCTCACTCAAGCAGAAAACACGAGGAATGGTTCATCCAAAAATGAAAATATGCTGAAAAAGTGCTCACCCTCACTTTGTTTCTTCATCAGATTTGGAGAAATGTAGTGTCTCAGCAATGGCTCCTCTGCAGTGAATGGGTGCCGTCAGAATGAGAGTCCAAACAGCTGATAAAAACATCACAATAATCCACAAGTAATCCACACCACTCCAGTCCATCAGTTAACATCTGGAGAAGACAAAAGCTGCGTGTTTGTAAAAAACAATTCCATCATACGGCTAAAATACGAGTCTATAATCCATAATAACGCTTCCTCCAGTGGAAAAGGTCCATCTCATGTTTTCTCTCGCATCAAAATCAACCCACAGATTTGTTTAGAGCTGTTTAAACAGTGCTTGATCTGTGCAGATTTCTCTCCTGATTCAGACCAGACCACTTTTTCACTGGAGGAAGCGTTATTATAGATTATGGACTCGTATTTAAGCAATGCTTTGAAGTTAAATCATCTTAAAGATGGATTTGTTTCTTACAAACGCAGCTTTTGGCTTCTCAAGACATTAACTGATGGACTGGAGTGGTGTGGATTACTTGTGGATTATTGTGTTTAATTTTGTTGATTGAATGGTTCATTTCTAAAATATGTATATGTGGCAAAGCTGAAAAAAAAAAAACATTGTTGAGGCAGTGATCAACCCAAAACATAGGACTCCAGTTAAATCTCAACTGTTAAAGCTCAGATGAAATAATAATAACTCAAAAAACACAATAATCCACACCACTCCAGACCATCAATTAATGCTGGAGAAGACAAAAGCTGCGTGTTTGTAAAAAACAATTCCATCATACGGCTAAAATACGAGTCTATAATCCATAATAACGCTTCCTCCAGTGGAAAAGGTCCATCTCATGTTTTCTCTCGCATCAAAATCAACCCACAGATTTGTTTAGAGCTGTTTAAACAGTGCTTGATCTGTGCAGATTTCTCTCCTGATTCAGACCAGACCACTTTTTCACTGGAGGAAGCGTTATTATAGATTATGGACTCGTATTTAAGCAATGCTTTGAAGTTAAATCATCTTAAAGATGGATTTGTTTCTTACAAACGCAGCTTTTGGCTTCTCAAGACATTAACTGATGGACTGGAGTGGTGTGGATTATTGTGATGTTTTTATCAGCTGTTTGGACTCTCATTCTGACGGCACCCATTCACTGCAGAGCATCCATTGCTGAGACACTGATGCAATGCTACATTTCTCCAAATCTGATGAAGAAACAAACTCATCCTAATCTTGAATAACCTGAGGGTGAGGAGATTTTCAGCTAATATTCATTTTTGGGTGAACTATTGCTTTAAGACGGTGCTATCTGAAGCCACACATGACAGCACTGTGCTGAATGTTTTATCTGTGAGGAAGGAATACCGCATGTCTGGAGTTACTGACAGTGCATTTCCAGCCCACAATAACAGACACAAGCTCATCTGACTAATGCAGTACAGAGAGAAAAGAGACGTCAGCCTTAAAGGACAAAACAAAAAAACACATCACCAACTTACAAAAGAGCTTCAACGCACTTCAACACACAAATGTATCATTCGAGGCCTTGTTTTCATAAATAGAGGCTATAATACAGGATTTCACATTGCATTATGAAGAGTCATCCAAATATTATTAACCGTTTCATCATCTCTAAAACTCGCTTCAGCAAAGATGCTCGTTTCATTACAGTAAAGTATTTTTTGCATACCATGCAACTATACTGTGCAATTTATCATAAAACTATGTCACAATGTGTCAAGGTAGATGGGATAAAATGTCAACAAGCAGTGTACTTCAACTAAAACGAGTTCTAATTTGTATATAATGATCATACAAGCAGTTTTATGAGCTCATCTTACTGTACATGGAATAGTATTATATGTAGCAATACTTAACATAGTACTATGAGTAAAAATACTTAGTATTACATACTGTATGTAATAATACTTAAAAACACTGCGGGGCTATTGAAGTGGACATGTACAGATTCAGCTGTAACCTAAAATATTAATATTAAATAAAAATGTTCATGTAACAAGCATTATTTTAAACGCTGGGCAAGTGCAACTGTGTAACATTTAAAAAAAATAAAAAGAAACATTCCATGATACAGTGTCACGCAACTATGTAACAATTTCTGACACGTCACGGAACCATGCTACTATGTATCAATCCCTTTACCGTCATTCTTTTCAATGCCAGGCGACTATGTAACATGTAACGCAACTCTATATTCTTTCATGTCACATATGTATCAACTATGTAACTTGCGCGCGGGCGAGGCCGCCGTTACACAGCTGCGTCTTTCCCGTTTAACTGCGTCGAGCGCAGAGCCACGAATGTTGCGTGAGTCCGTGCGGTTTTACCTGCAGATGCTCCTGGAAGCGGATCGGTAAAATCTGCGCCATTCTCACGGAGAGGAGAGGAGGAAGATGAGGAGGAGGGGGGCGCAGATGAAGAGTTGTGTTCGTGTTCTGTTCCTCTGAGTTGCTTGAGCCGTTAGACGAGGATATTGAGGGAAAGCTCGTGAATCTCTGCGTCTTCGGCCGGTCAGATTCACTCCGGGCAACTTCTCGGAGCGCTGCCGGACTCCTCCGCGCGAGAAAGTAGATCCGCGCGCACTGATACGAGACTCCCGTCCTGCGGCGCAGATGCTGTAAACACGCTCTCACAGGAGCAGAGTGAGGTATGAAGCAGGCAAGTGCGTGAGTTTGCGGTTAAGGGAGTGTGAGGGGGTCAGCTGTAGCCTTCCGCTCGAGACGAACATGTGACAGCAGGAAGCCCCCCCTCCAGCCAGAAATACTGGGGGTCTATTTCTGCACACTCACTCAGAGCAGCAGCAACAACCACCACACACACGGTCACTGCTGTTTTAGGATCACCCATATAGTATTTGTTATTATTACTTCAACTTTAAATAAACTATAACACATGACACAACTGACTAACTATACACATGGCATTAAACCACTGCTGTTTTAGGATCATTCATATAATATTATAGCATTTGTTATTATTTTGAATTTATTTTTATATTTTCCGTCATTTTAATTTACCTTTTATGATTTTTTTTTCTTTTTAAAAATATGTCTGCTTAGTTTTTATTTTATTTTATTTTATTTTATATTTTTATTTTAAGTACTTCAACTTTAACTAACACATGACACAACTGAAATATTTACTGAAAGTTTTGTATATATTATTTAGTTAACATTTATTTAAATTAACAAATGTTTTTACATTTTTTTTAATGGTCTATTTAGTTTCAGTTTTAGGTTATTATTTTTTTATTACTAATTTTAATAAAATTTAAGTAATTTAAGTACTTAAAACTATAAAATATTCCTTTGACAACTAACTGAAATATTTACTCTAAGACTGAAAGACAAAGATTTTTTACTGAATTTTTATATTTTAGGTAACATTTATTTGAATGAACAATTTTTTTTTAAGTTTTTCTTTTTTTAATTTGTTTATTTTTTATTTAAGTTTTAGTTTAGTTTAGTTATTTTTAGTTTTAGTAATTTAAGTACTTCAACTTAAACTAAAGATAATTTTACTGAAAGTATAACTGAAATTGTTTCTATATATTTTTTTATTTAACACTTTTTTTTACATTTTTGTTTATTTTATTAAATGTCTATTTAGTTTTATTTCCATGTTAGTTTGGTTATTTTTAGTAATTTTAGTAAATTAGTATGTTTCAGAAATGTAACTACTTAAACTAAAGCTATAAAATATTCCTTTGACAACAAACTGAAATATTTGCAGAAACTATAACTTAAAGTTATATATTTTAGTTAACATCAATTTCATGGAAGAAATGTTTTGAATAGTTTCAGGTAACGCTAATAGCACTGACACATAAAGAGAAAAGTAGCATGGTAATGTTTGAAGTATAAATCGGCATTTTATGGATCTGTCGAGTAAACATCATGCTGCATTAATATGCAAATCATTTCAAAGTACCACGATGTTGATACATAGTTTATCAAATAGCACCGCGACTGTATACCGCTTCACCACTTAACATACAATTAGCTTATAGTTTCAAAGAATCTTCACAAAGCTCACATGAAATAATATTTAAGCTTCTGTAATTTTGTTTTAATTTGACTGCAAAGTTTGTGTGGGGAAAAAAAATGTCAGAAAGGTCACATGTTGATTTTTATTTATTTATTAACTATTTTACACCGAGACAACATGTTGTCCTGTAAACATTATATATGTGAGAATTTAACTCAAGTTAGTTCAATGATCACTACATAGATTTAAAAACTGTACTGAACACAAGACACACTATGAATATCTGACTGCATTACAAACACAGTGTAATAAATAGTTTAGGCAGTGTATGAGTGCGTGTTTGTGATATCAGGGTCAGTATCAGGCGGAGGAGGGTGCAGCGTTAGGGCCGAGCGGGGCGTGAGAGCTGAGTGCTGTGTTTAGCTTGACTCTTACGGTCGATCAGGAGGATGGGGTTCTTCATGTGATGAGAGATCATCTCCTGCAAGCTGCTGAAGAGCTGCAAAACACACACATCATCATCAGAACTATCATAATGCGCAATATTTACTGTCATTCTGCAGTTTTGCTTTGACATAAAAAAAATGTTCAATAACTTTTGAAAATCGTTTGATAATATATACATACACACACATATACACATTTATTTATTTATATATTTTTATTTCTGACATTTTGAATCATTTTGTCTGTGTATATATATATATATATATGAAAAAACATATATATAGATATATATGAATAAAATATATATTCACACACAGTATATACACAATTTGACATCAAATATACAAAATTATATATATATATACAGTATATATATACACACACAAAATATATATATGAAATAACATTATACACACACACATATATATACTGTATATATATATATATATACACACACACAATGAAATGTTAAAAATGATTATGATAAAAGTTTTTATGTCAAAGCAAAATATAGATCAAATATATATAAAACTGAAACTAAAATTATAGTCATTTAAAAACGTTTTCATTACTTGAAAGAAAATCAACGCAAAGTGGTTTGCTTTTTTTGTTGTTGCTATGCGGTTGCTAGGCTACCCGGGATGGTTGCTAGGGTGTTGCTATGCGGTTGCTAGGGTACACGGGGTGGTTGCTAGGGTGTTGCTATGCGGTTGCTAGGGTACCCGGGGTGGTTGCTAGGGTGTTGCTATGCGGTTGCTAGGGTACCCGGGGTGGTTGCTAGGGTGTTGCTATGCGGTTGCTAGGGTACTCTGGGTGGTTGCTAAGGTGTTGGGTCAAGGTCATTTAATTAAATGATACTTTAAAAAAAATATATCTGGAGTATTTCTTAAAGTGCTTTAAGCTCAGCTTAAACATCAGGGCATGTCGCTAGCAACACCAAGGCCATGGGTTTGAATCCCAGGGAATGCATGAATTGACAAAAATTAATGCATTGTAAGTCGCTTTGGATAAAAGCCTCTGCAAAATGCATAAATGTAAAATCATGCACAGCTGCGTGACTGCTATCAAACTACATGTGAATGTGAAGTGAAAGCAGACAGACAGATGTGCGGACGTCACATATAACACAGAGCATCTTCCTCTCCTCCTCTACCTCTTCCGTCTTCTTGCCCTCTTTTCCGAGCGCGTACTGTTGCGAATCCTCCAGGAAGCGCACCGGGATGTTGTAAACGGTCTGCCGGTAAAGCACGACCAGTGTGAAGGGCTGACGGTCATTCTGAGAACTGCTGTATCTGACCAGAAACGTGCCGTCCTGCAAAACACACACACACACACCAAATATACTTTTTGTTTAAAACTAGTGAAAAACAGCTCCAGATATTAAGCAAATATATATTATTTGATGTACTTTTATTTTATGTTTAACATTATTTTGTTTAATTGTGTTGCTTAATTTCAAAACAATATGACTCAATTGAACAATCACATATTGAGAATAAACATGCAGGATTTAAATACATTTTTAAATTATTTTATATTTCATTTTACTTTATATTATTACTATTATTATTATTATTATATTACTTTTTTATTATTATTATGTGCTTAATTTCAGAACAATGACTCAACTAAACATTCCAATTTAGATGATAAACATGCCACATTTAAATAAAATGTAAAAAAATATATATTTCATAATACATTGTATTTTGTATTTTATTTTCATCTTTTTATTTTTATATATTATTTTTATTGATTAATTTCAGAACAATATAACTCAAATGAACACTCCCATATTTAAGAATAATATGCTGAATTTAAATAAAATTAATTTTTAAAAAATACAAATCGCACATAAACAGAGGCACATCTTTTTAATCCTGATTTTATCCTGGTTTTATTTTGTCATTTTATCTTAGATTTCATTTTATTTTATATTTTAATTTATTCCTTGATTTCAGAACAATAAAACTCAACTGAACATTTCCATTTAGATGATAAACATGCAGCATTTTAATAAAATTTAATATATTTATTTTATATTTCATTTTATAATCTTTTTTTATTTTGTATTTTTGTATTTTCTATTTTATTTGATTGTTTAATTTCAGATCAATGACTCGACTGAACGTTCTCATATAAAGGAAAAACATGCAGAATTTAAATAAAATCAAATAAAAATCACACAAACACAGACACAGCTTGTTAATCCTGAGCACAATTTTGTCATTTTATAATTTATTTTATCATCTTTTATTATAATTTTTTTATACATTTTATTTTGTTTTAAAACTTAATTTCAGAACAATATAACTCAAGGAACATTCCCATTTAGATGATAAACATGCAGCATTTAAATAAAATTAAAATAATTATTTTATATTTCATTTTATTTTATATTTTATTTGATCATCTTTTTATTTCTTTTTATTTTATTTTACTGCTTAATTTCAGAACAATGACTCAACACAACATTGCCATTTAGATGATAAACATGAAGCATTTAAATAAAATTTAAATAATTATTTTATATTTCATTTTATTTTATATTTTATTTGATCATCTTTTTATTTATTTTTATTTTTATTTTACTGCTTAATTTCAGAACAATGACTCAACACAACATTGCCATTTAGATGATAAACATGAAGCATTTAAATAAAATTTCAATATTTATTTTATCTTATCTTTTATATTTCAGAACAATATGACTCAACTAAACATTCTCATTTAGATGATAAACATGCAGCATTTAAATAAAATGTCAATCACACACAAACGCAGACACACCTTGTTAATCCTGAGCACGGTTTCCTCTGCAGTCTTACGTTCACAAACTCCAGCAAACCACTCTTTGTCCTGTAGCCCCGCCCCCTGATTGTGATCAAAACCGTCAGCCAATCAGTGACTGAATACAGCGACATCTTTTGCAGTTTGTCACCAATCACATAAATCTGTAGTGTTTACCTGAGCGACTGGCTTTGCTCCAAAAGAAAGTGCTGTATGGAAAGAACATGAATTAATTATATGGAAAGTATGACTGATTCTATTAAAATGACAACAGAAAAATAAAATCTAAATCCAAATATTTACAAAAATAGTATATCATTGATACTAAAATAACACTGGAAAAATCACCCAATACTTTTTTCAATAAACTCAGCATAAATAAAAAACCATGTAACAAATACAACCATGAGCTTTACTGACATCTTTACTTTACAATTTAAATGAAAAATGTTTTTAAATTAGATTAATGAAAATAAAATTTTTGCTTTACAGTGGACTACTAAGAACCGGGCGAGATTGGAGACATTTGCATGAAAATATCATGATGCAAATAATCTTACTGTACCTAAAATAGGCTTTAAATATTTGTGTGTCTTATATTTCACCACAAAAAAACTAATGGAAAAAACTGTTTTGCATAAAGAAAGCAATGTGACTTTATTTTCATGACAGTTAAGCCCACACTGACACCAAATGCTGATTACGTTAATGAAAATAATAAATAACTTTATTTATTTATTTTAAAAAACCTGAACTGTAATGAGACAGTAATGAAAAATCCAGGGTTATTATCATGAACTAAAACTAAAACAGCAAAAAACATTCTTATTAGTTGAAATAAAATAAATATGAATTGAAAAAAACCTTAAAAATGGAAAGAACATGAATTAATTATATGGAAAGTATGACTGATTCTGATCATTGTTTTCATGCGACATACGATAACAGTTACAGTTACATCAAAAGATGAAGATTTTAGAGAGAATGACAAATAAATGAAAATAATAAAAGTGCTCACCTGTGCTGTCCAGAGAAGGAGGAGGAGGACTAGAAACACAACACATTTACTGTATGTGAGTTTGAGAAACATGCTGTTTATAAATCCAGGGTTATTATCATGAACTAAAACTAAAACAGCAAAAAACATTCTTATTAGTTGAAATAAAATAAATATGAATTGAAAAAAACCTTAAAAAATAAAGAAAGAAACTTATTTCAGCATTTCTTATTAGTTTAAGTTTAAGTACTAAAGTACCAAAATAACTAAAGCTAAATAAACTAACACTTAATTAGTCTATATTAAACTTATATTAATGCAAAAAACAACAACAACAACAACAAAACTGTAAGACAGTAATAAAAAAATCCAGGGTTAATATCATTAACTAAAACCACAAAAACATTCTCATCACTTATAAATAAATAAATAAAAATAATAATTGAAAAAATTAACTTTTAGTTTAGTTTGAGTACTGAAACAACTAAAACTAAATAAACTAAAACTAAACCTTTAAAATAAAAATTACATAGATATTAAGAGAACTAATAAAAATGTCAGATTTTTTTTTTTATAAATTCAACTTAAATAAAAAGCCATGTAACAAATACATCCTTGAGCCATACTAACAATTTTACTTTACTATTTAAATATTATTTTTTTTCACCTTAGATTAATGAAAATAATATTTTTGCTTTACAGTGGACTACTGAGATTGTATATCATTGCTCTCTTGTTGATTTTGATTTCTTCTATTGTCTTCATTTGTAAGTCGCTTTGGATAAAAGCGTCTGCTAAATGACTAAATGTAAATGTACTGAGAATTACAATAGCGTGAGGTTGAAGACATTTTCATGAAAATGGGCTTCAGATTTCTTACTTTTCTCCTTTGGTTTTAGGGTGAAATATGTCCAGGACGTTTCTGAACATGTAAAGAGGTAAAGGCTTCAAAGACTCACCTGGGTTTGGGTTCTTTGGGGAGGATGATGGGAGGAACCGGTTTGCTGTTTAGTGCGGGTGGCAGCTGGCCAGAAAACGTGGCGCGTTTTACTTCCGGCGGCAGAACTAAACGATCACAGAAGACGTCAAATAAAGCTGTACATGTGGCTCTGTATCATCACGCGTGAGTTAAACACAATTACAAACACATCTAGAGCGGGAAAAACTCCCTAACCTTTGTTCACAGTGTCACCGATCAGGACCGAACTCTGCGGAAACCAACAAACGAATCAAGAGAGAAGAAGACTGTAATGAATGCATGAATGTGTCAAACTAGCACTTACAGATTTGGCTCTGGGAACAGGTGGCTTCATTCTGTAAAACCAAAAGAAACGGTATCACCAAACTAGGTTTTGCAAACAAGAGTCACTAGCGGGACGATGCACAGTTTTAAGGTTTTTTACTGGCCTAATAAAAAAATATCCCCAGTAAGTTCTCTGTGATATTCTGGTATCTATAGACATGACTCGGGTCGCTCCTTTAATGTGCATTTGTGGGATGCATTGAACTAGCAACACCAATGTCATGTGTTCAATTCTTAGGAGACAGAAATGATGCATATTGATGAATATAAATTGTATATTTAATGCACAGTCAGTTGTTCAAGATAAACATTGCTACTAAATGCATAAAGGTAATTCTAAGAATAGTAATTGTGATGCTTTAGCAAAAGAAGTCATTATCAAACACCATCATTTAATGTGAGTCTGTAATAAATGAATTTAGACCAGTGTTATTTTCAGTATCATTTACATACTATTATAGTTTCAATATTTTGAATTTTTATTTTTGTATTTTCCTTTTTTGCATTTGAATGTTAGTTATTTATTATTATTTACTATTTTAAGCCATATCAGCAATATGGCAATCAACAATACTTCAATGAATTATACACAATAATTTAACAATATTATATTTTACAAAGAAACTATAAATAAATAGGCTAAATAAAACAATTATATACAATCTTTCAAATTGATATTTGATTTTTTTTTTTAAATCTCATATTTTCCCAGGAGAAACTTTTTTGAAAATATCTGTTAATGTACTTTGAGTAAAAATGTTTTTAATTTTAGTTGATTATTATTTATTTATAACTTTATGCCATATCAGCATCAAAGGCTATATTCATTGCTCAAAACTCAAATTTAATAGGATTTGAAATACTCTTAACAATACTTCAATGAATTGTATATACAGTATATACAGTATATATATATATATATATATTCCGAGTAACATTTTTTTTAAATATGGTTTTATTTTATGGTAATAACCCTGATTTTGACATACAGAGACATACATACATTTGTGGTGGAAGGTCTCGCCCTACAGTTTTAGGGGGCAATGGCATGCGGGCCAGGCTTCGGGGTGCAGGAGGTTCTGGAAAAGATAAAATAAAGAATAACAAATATGATTCAAGTCAACTTATCATTACAAAATCATTTTAAGTTATACAAACATGGAGTGCTGACCTGCTACAGGATCTAGATAGGTATCATCATCCTGACAGAAACAAATATAAAGTGATATTAAAATGATCACATAATATCTGACAAGAATGACTAATATTTTTTAAAATCATTTTCAATGCTAGTCATGCTTACCTGCCCTTCATTTGGGTCCAAGTAAACGTCTGGAAGGTCAGAGAGTACAGTAACTAAACATGCAGTGTGCCATCAACTAATACTGTAATATCCAATATAAATATCTGTGATAGTTTGATGAACATAGTCTTGAAATGACCTTCATCTTGCTGAGGGGCCGGTGGAGGTCTCATCGGGGGTCTCTTAGGAGGGGCTTTTTTACCAGGTTTATCTTTACGTATTACCTCAGGCGCTAGAAAATATAAAGTTGAAGAGTTTTCATGTACACTAGGCCATCCATTTTTCTCTGAATTACTCTATTGTGCAAAACTCAGCAAGATTTTTTAAAAATGAAATTAATACTTGTATTCATCAAGGATGCATTAAATTGATCAAAAGCGACAGTAAAGACATTTATAATGTTGCAAAAGATTTCTATTTCAAATAAATGCTGTTCTTTTGAACTTTCTATTCATCAAAGAATCCTGAAAAATAAAATGTATCACGGTTTCCACAAAAATATTGTGCAGCACAACTGTTTCCAACATTGATAATAATCAGAAATGTTTCTAATAATCAGCATATTAGAATGATTTCTGAAGATCATGTGACACTGAAGACTGGAGTAATGATGCTGAAAATACAGCTGCGCATCACAGAAATAAATTATATTTTAACATAGACTCACACAGAAAACAGCTATTTTAAATTGTAATAATATTTAACTGTTTTTACTGTATTTTTGATCAAATAAATGCTCTGCATCAAAAAAAGTCTTTCTTTTCTTAATTTATGTGCTTGTTTCAGAGACTCACGTTTGCTGTCACTGGGGTCGATGTAAAACTCCTCTGGGTCGTGAGGCGGCTCTGGCTTCTAGAAGAAAAAGAAACACACAACTGAGTCGAAAAAGCTATACACACCTATTTTGTTTAATTAACTTATATTAAAGGCTAAGGCACAGATATTGCTGTAATTTAGATGTTTTACCATGCTTTTCCCTATCGGGGTGATCTTGGCTGGTCGTGGCGGCGGTGCTGCCTGTCTTTTGGGAATAACAGGGTTTGGGGTTCGATCTGGATAACCTGAGAAAAGAAGCATTAGACACTAAATCATTAAAAATATTATGACCTTAAACATGTATTCAGCATACTTAAAGGGGTCATATGATGTGATTTCAAGTTTTCCTTTCTCTTTGGAGTGTTACAAGCTCTTGGTGCATAAAGAAGATCTGTAAAGTTGCAAAGACTAAAGTCTCAAATCCAAAGAGATAACCACGCCTACCTAAAACGGTTCGTTCTAACACACCCCACATATCTACGTCACTATGTGGGAAGATTCCTATTACATATTAGTGAAAAATATAAAACTAATTACATGTAAATATTTTCTTACATCCCATGCAAAGATAACCAATCCATTTGTAACTTGATTAAGACAGACAGACAGATAGACAGATAGATACCCAGGTAAACATTCTCCTCTACTTGGCGCGGTTGGACTTTAATGGTGGGACGTTCACATGGTGGAGCTTCATACTGTTGTATTTCCTCTACTGTTTTTTTTTATTTGCATCTTTGTTTTTATTTTAAATAACAAAGGTAAAATAACAAAAAGAGCTTTATTGTGATTATTACTATAGTAATTATTATTAATTAAAGAATTGGAGGAAAAGATGCATTGTGATGCATCATAATTATAATCGAATCAAATCGTGAGGCAGCTGAAGATTCACATATATGTGAATAGGCCATAAGGGCTTTTTTACTTGATTTTTACTTGCCCTGCCACAAAAAATAAAATAGTTTTGTTATCATTGTTTTTGTTACCAAAATTATAGATATCAGTTCAATTTTACAATTCTCGATTCCAACTGAAGACAAGTGAACAGTCAGTAAATAAGAACAAATGAACGAAAGATAAGCAATAGCACAAATAAATAAATAGGACAAAGATAAAAATGAAACAATGCTTTAGGTTTTGGAGTTTGTACATGTTCAGGTACAGATATTTAATAATCAAATGTAAAATAACTTTGCATACTTTTGTAGGCCTATGTGTTTTTCAGTTCAAGCGCAAATACAACTTTGATTATCAACACTCAAAAAAGTACTGTTTTCACTCGTTAATATTAGCCTATTGCATTAGCTGTCAAGAATAACTACCATGATTAACAATATTTTACATCTTTTGGTTAATATTAATACATTATTTCAATATTACTAAGGTAAATTAGTGATTTAAAAAATTGCATGTGTAGAGTGAGATTTGTAAAAAGGTAAATGAACTTACCAGCCTGTTACAAAGATCCACAAGCAGTAAATCAAAGTGCACAGAACGGTTTGTTAGGTGAACATTTACCTTCACTAATGTACCTTCCTACTCTGTTCTTTAATGTTAGTTCATAATGCATTTAACCAACATTAACACGTACAGTTTAATGCTACATGTTTTTATATAGATATGTGTAAAATATGTCAGACTATGACCCTGCTCACAGCCTCATTTCATCCCCGTTAAATTCAATATAGCATCAAATTTGACTAACCTGCCTTTTAAAAGGGTCTGTATATATAGGCTAGTTATTTTTATATGTGTATTTCTTTATTTTTAATACACTTGAGGTGTGTTGCTTATAGGCCCTATATAGTATTTATTTACATTTTATCTATTCATATTTTTTCCACATTGATGTAGCTGCTTTTCACCGCTGTTTTAAAGGGGTCATATGATGCGATTTCAATTTTTCCTTTCTCTTTGGAGTGTTACAAGCTCTTGGTGCATAAAGAAGATCTGTAAAGTTGCAAACACTAAAGTCTTTCGCTTTTGTATATAGTTCTGCCAAACATGCATTATTATTCTTATATGTGACCCTGGACCACAAAACCAATCATAAGGCTAAATTTTTCTAAATTGAGATTTATACTGAGGGTGCAAAAAAATCAAAATACTGAGAAAATCATCTTTAAAGTTGTCCAAATGAAGTTCTTAGCAATGCATATTACTAATCAAAAAGTTTTAATATATTTACAGTAGGAAATGTACAAAATATCTTCATGGAACATGATCTTTACTTTTTTGGCATTAAAGAAAAATCTATAATTTTGACCCATACAATGTATTTTTGGCGATTGCTACAAATATACCCCAGCGACTTAAGACTGCTTTTGTGCTCCAGGGTCACATCTGTGCATTATTCTTATATGTATTTAACGAGTTCGTTTGCCCATATAATATTAAGGAAATTGTGTGTAAACTTATTTGGCTTGCTGTCCACTGATCAGGGGCTCGATGAAGCAGCTTCAACTCGAGCTTTGATATACAAAACTATTAAAATAATAAATACCATGCCACAAATGACCCCCTTATACCTTTATTTTAACCTAAAATCTTAAAGTTGCTGGTAAAGTACATAAATATTTTGTTCTATAGACGTTTTTATCTTATGTTTTTACACAGGTATGGCTTGTCATGAAAGCACCTGTTCTCCTGGGTGGAGCTGGTGGTCCGCTATGTCTGTACAAATGAAAAATAACAGGTAAATTAGACAGTTATGCAAGGTGTACAGGTGAAAAATGTAACGTTTGATGAAAAAAGACTTTAGTACTTACAGTACAGATGTTTTCAACTTCCCAAAGAAACTCTAAAAATAAAGAAGCAATACAGTGCGTGACCAAAACTCTCAGGCTCAAAGTCTAACAAGAACAATATTGATCTTTGCTAGCTGGTTTTGTTAAACACTTCCCGGATATTCAAAGATTATGTAAATATATATATATGGATGGAGAGTGTAGAAATGCTACACAGCGATGGAACATTTTACTTCATGTGTAATATTATAAATATAAATATTTCATTCGTCGACACTGATAATCACACGACTGCTTATCTTGGTTAGTAACACACATAGATGAATACTGTAGGTTATTCACTTCTCTTCTGTTCGTACACATACTTCAGAGGAAAACACAGCAGATGACTTTAAAAATTTAACGGATAAAAGCAATGTTGTACTTTAGGGGTATACAAACATGTTTAGTAATGTTTTGACCAAAGGTGAATGCATACACTCTAAAAAATGCTGGGTTAAATATAACCCAGCGCTGGGTTAAAAAGGGACAAACCCAGCTATTGGGTTGTTTTGACCCAGCGGTTGGGTTGTTTTGACCCAGCGGTTGGTTGTTTTGACCCAGCTATTGGGGTTGTTTTGACCCAACCGCTGGTTTAAAAACAACCCAACCGCTGGGTCAAAACAACCCAATAGCTGGGTTTGTCCCTTTTTAACCCAGCGCTGGGTTATATTTAACCCAGCATTTTTTTAGAGTGTAGATATCAGTAGTTTAAGAGATTAAGTGCCATCTTGAAAACAAAAGTAGAAAATAAGTGTATATTCACAGCACAAAACATAATAGTGTCGTAACTGGGATGACTAGATAAGAGGAAGCTGAAACGGTGCTATTTTCCGGTTTTTATCAGATAGGTGCTTCAGTTGCATCAGAACAATGTGGCGTTTTATTCACTGCGAATGAGGAGCTGAAACATTACCGTGTTAAAGTAGAAAAAGCAGAAATTTAAATGTAGAAGTTACCTAACCTTTCTGAAAAGTATATGACGCATACAGTATCGGACATCAATTCCAGGTAATAAATGACAGTAGTGCCTGGACGTTGCCACCCCAAATTATGATTAAATTGATGTTCACATATATAACAGTGTTCGTAGCATCTGAAACCTGCTCAAACACCAATCACATGTTAATTGCATCTTCATCTGTATTCCTGAATGTCTAACATGCAACTAAATAGAAATAATTGTACTTTACCATGATGCATGAGGCGTTCAGTTGATCAGGAAACAGCGCACACAACGCCTCTGCACTTTCCGATTTCTCCCAATATGGGGACAGGAGAGCTGTCAGTCAATAAATGGGAAAACAAAGTAACTGGCATTACTTTTTTGAAAAAGTAACTCAGATATTTTCTTGTAAATTAAAAAAGTAATGCGTTACTTTACTAGTTATTTGAAAAAAGTCATCTGATTACATAACTTGCATTACTTGTAATGTTTTTTTGCTGTTCAAAGTGATTTTTGTATGTTCAAGGACTCTTGTGCCGGAACAATTACAGACAAATCTACAAAATAAATAAATAAATAAAATATTACACATGTGTTTGTGCTTCAGGAGGTTATAATATGAGGCTATAATGTTAGCATGACGTTAGCTCTAAACTGCTGGATGATACAAGTTTGTTAAAATGATAGGAGTGGGGTAATTTGAGCCACATGTCCTGGGGTAAGGTGAGCCAGTGTTTCCCCCCTTCGTATGATTATAAAGTATTATTTTACTGCAATTCTACACTCTAAAAAATGCTGGGTTAAATACAACCCAGTGCTGGGTAAAATAGGGACAAACCCAGCAATTGGGTTGTTTTGAGCCAGTGGTTGGGTTACTGCCCAGAAGGTTGGGTTAAACATTTAACCCAACCGCTGGTCAAAACAACCCAATTGCTGGGTTTTTCCCTATTTTACCCAGCACTGGGTTGTATTTAACCCAGCATTTTTTAGAGTGTATATTTCATTAATTTTACACCAAACATGATTTTGATTTAGAATTTTTCAATTTGAACTTTTTGTTCTGAAATTAAGTAATTTAAAAAACGCCTTCAGAGTTTTGAACTGTATCTTTAAATAAAACTTTTAAGAAGTCATCCCTCCATCCATTCTGTGTCTTTATTAGGGTCGTGGGGAGCTGGATCCTAACCCAGCGTCTTGAGCCACAGGAACTCCCTGCATGGATGGCCAGTCCATCACAAGGCTCACACATAGATTTAAAGAAGTAATTTTTATTGAATTTCTCTTCCCTTGATATAGCACGAGGTGAAAATGTTCCGCATAATCAGTGGCACAATTTAACTCCATGTGGCTCAATTTACCCCTCACTGGGGGCAAGTTGAGCCAAGAGACCACTTTTTTTTGGAAAGCCATATTTTGAAAGCAGTTTATTTTAGATCCAAAGTGATTATTCCCAAGGATGCACCACATCCAGAAATGTATGTAGATATTTAAGTTGGACCCATTGCTGTCATGTGTTTGCTTTAAACACGGCATAAACAAGTAAAAACCGGCTTAACTCACCCCGCTCTCCCTTAAATTATTAAGTCTTACATATTTGAAATACATAAATGGACAAAAATGTTTATTCATACTCATGTAATATCAAATTATATTTTTGTATGAATCCCATTTTTGTCTGAAAAGGTCAGTTTTGTATAAACTAGTGTTAAGAGTTTGTGGATGCTAAGAGATTTATTGATTTTGAAAGCAGTCTCTAATGCTCACCAGGGCTGTATTTATTTGATCAAAAATACAGTAAAAATAGTGAAATATTATTACAATATAAAATAGCTGTGTTCTATGTGAACATATAGTAAAATGTAATTTATTTCTGTGATGCGCAGCTGAATTTTCAGCATCATTACTCCAGTCTTCAGTGTCACATGATCTTCAGAAATCATTCTAATATGCTGATTTGATACTTATTATCAATGCTGAAAACAGCTGTGCTGCTTCATATTTCTGTGGAAACCAGGATACATTTTTTCAGGATTTTGAACAGAAAGTTAAAAAACAGCATTTATTTGAAATAGAGATCTTTTGTAACATTATAAATGTCTTAATCACTTTTAATCAATTTAATACATCCTTGATGAATAATAGTATTCATTTATTTTTTACCACAAACTTGGGCTTGGAAAATAGCATGCAAGTGGTAAGTACTATTTTCAAGTTATTTTATAATGCTTTTCTCCCATTTTAGAGCTCAACACTTTCGTTATATGTAAGGATGTCCTTAAATTCACCTTTTATGCGCCAGTCAAGAATTCGTACGGGTTTGGCACATGAGGGCGAGTACATGATTACATAGCCTGAAATAAGAACTAGAAAGTCCAATAAGGCATTTATTAATTATTCAGATGAGGTTTGTTATTTTTAATAGTAACATGTAAATAAGTCTAATGCAGGTGTGTAGGACACTGTCAATGAAATAGAAAGACAGTCCTGCACACTGTCACAGCCTGGAAATCTTCACCAGACATTTGGATATTTTAATAGCACCATAAAAGAAACCAGTATTTCAGGATAAACTGAGAGATCTGTGATCAGTCACGCACATTAACTGAGAAGAGATGTTTTTACTTTATCTGTTACTGACATCTGTGTGTGTCGGTGGAGGGCTGGACTCTGGAAACAGTCCGGAGCACAAAAATGAGAAGGTACAAGTCAGAAGATCACAGATCACACACTGAACCTGTAGGATGGCTCCCGCGGTTTTACTCATCGGCTGTTTGCTCGCCACAATCGGCTGCTTGACCACAGGTAACATTCACATCAGCTGCACTGTTACAGTATGTATGTCAGATTTTGATACAGTTTTCATTAGAGAATTAGTTCCACTCATTTGAATCTCATTGAGAGATTTTGAGAAGCGCCATCAGGAATGATTAAAATTCATTGCTAAAGAAGTTTCAGAATAATTACACTGCACAGTCAAAATGTAAATGCTTCAGATTCTCGGTTCATAAATATTTTTTCCTTCATTCCACAGCTCAAACTACCACATCAATTAATGCTGTTACTGCATCACCTAATGCAACTAACATGTCGGGCAACGCAACTAATGTATTGCCCAACATAACTAGTGCAACTACCATTTTGCCCAACGGGGCTAACACATCACCTAGCACCACCATGTTGCCCAGCACACCCAACACGGCGCCCAACGCAACCAACACGGTGCCCAACACAGCCACCACGGCGCCCAACGCAACCAACACGGCACCCAACACAGCCACCACAGCACCCAGCACAACCAACACGGCACCCAACACAGCCAACACGGCGCCCAGCGCAACCAACACGGCGCCCAACACAGCCAACACGGCGCACAGCGCAACCAACACGGCACCCAACACAGCCACCACAGCACCCAGCGCAACCAACACGGCACCCAACACAGCCAACACGGCGCCCAGCGCAACCAACACGGCGCCCAACACAGCCAACACGGCGCCCAGCGCAACCAACACGGCGCCCAACACAGCCAACACGGCGCCCAGCGCAACCAACACGGCGCCCAGCGCAACCAACACGGCGCCCAACACAGCCACCATGTCATCCACCACAACCAACACGGCGCCCAACACAGCCAACACGGCGCCCAGCGCAACCAACACGGCGCCCAACACAGCCACCATGTCATCCAACACAAACAACATGTCACCCAACGCAACCACCATGGCGCCCAACACAAACAACATGTCACCCAACGCAACCACCATGTCATCCAACGCAACCAACATGTCACCCAACGCAACCACCATGGCGCCCAACACAACCAACATGGCGCCCAACGCAACCAACATGGCGCCTAATGCAACTACCACATCAGCTAATGCGACTACAACGAATGCAACAACTCCTCATGCTCCATTGTGTGAGTGTTTCTTGTTTGTTCGTGTGATTAATTCACTATGGCATATCCTCTATTATTTGGTGTGAAATTACATTAACTGATGTTTTTTAATTTTCTGTCATAGATGGAAGTTGTGCGAGTCCAGATCTGTGCTGCTCTGGAAGGAATGATGCCTGTCACCGCTTGAATTGTTTTTGTGATGTTGCTTGTCTGAGATTAAAAGACTGCTGCCCTGATTTCAAACCCACCTGCCTCACAGGTATTCAGAAATATTCATACAAAACCCACATTTGATTAATCTGTGCTGAAATCAGTCACTTACTGTGTGTTAACAACCTCATATAAGAACAGTGCAAGTTCAGTAATCAGACTGTGTTGAGTGTTTTATTGTATAATACAAGAGTAAAGAGCATCACTGCGATTAAAAGAATAATACAATACTGCACATATACTGAACATTTCTATAAGAAATCTTAATAAATCTGCACCTCTATCCCCTTTCATAGTGAAAAACAGCACAAACACTTTGACACTAACAGGTATGTTTTCTATTTCTTTAAATTATTCTATATCATGTTAAAGGACATCCACACAGAACGCGCTTTTGCATTTAAAAATGCGAGACATCACACTGATGAATGAAAAATAAATTTTTAAAAAAACCGATTGGGAGATAGGATCGTTTTACTAATGTTCTGCATGATTAACGTTATTTTTATACAAGCAGAGTTAAAAGGCTATATTTTCAATGTCCATATATTTATGTCCATATATGCAATATTTTACTATATTCTGAATTAACAAATAATTATGATGCAGCAAAAGAGAATGAGAAACATGATTGTAACTGGTTATAAATTCTTGTCAGTAGACTTTTTGTTTCAATGATGGTGTTCCAGTACTTTTTTTTATAAAATACTTATAAAATATTGACTTATTACAAAAAGTCATTATTTCATAGAAGACAATGTTATTTTCTTACAAGCATGTGAAACTTTAGAAATCTTTTAGTGTCTTTATAATGTTAGAATAATATTAGTGAGTGTATACTGATGTCTGCACTGCTCCTATAGGGACGTGTTCACATCCGACTCTGTGCTGCAATGGCTTGAACTACAGCTGTTTCAGAGGCTGTTTTTGTGATGAGGCCTGCAAACAGCTCAACGACTGCTGTCCCGACCTCAACAGCACCTGCAGTAAGAACCCACATACACAGATACAGAGATGTTTATGCTTTGTTTATTAAGAAGCACTCTTTGAGCTGAAGTATGTTGAGAGATTGAGAAGATTGTTTTTTTAAGTAGTCTGTTCCTGATTTAATTGTTTCATGTATTGAAGTCAGTGTAATCAATATTGTATTTATTGCATGATGAATCCTGGGTCCTCTTAAATACTATAACGTACATAGTATCTGTCACTTCCTCCATAGATTTCACTACCCCAACTACAGCTCCACCCGTCAACTCCACTACAGCTCCACCCTTCAACTCCACTACAGCTCCACCCAAAGGTAATTTACTAGTGCATGTGTGAAGGATCTAGTCAGGAGTTCATCTTTTTGGAAGTTCAAGTAAATAGAATGAGAAACATGATTGTAACTGGTTATAAATTCTTGTCAGTAGACTTTTTGTTTCAATGATGGTGTTCCAGTACTTTTTTTTATAAAATACTTATAAAATATTGACTTATTACAAAAAGTCATTATTTCATAGAAGACAATGTTATTTTCTTACAAGCATGTGAAACTTTAGAAATCTTTTAGTGTCTTTATAATGTTAGAATAATATTAGTGAGTGTATACTGATGTCTGCACTGCTCCTATAGGGACGTGTTCACATCCGACTCTGTGCTGCAATGGCTTGAACTACAGCTGTTTCAGAGGCTGTTTTTGTGATGAGGCCTGCAAACAGCTCAACGACTGCTGTCCCGACCTCAACAGCACCTGCAGTAAGAACCCACATACACAGATACAGAGATGTTTATGCTTTGTTTATTAAGAAGCACTCTTTGAGCTGAAGTATGTTGAGAGATTGAGAAGATTGTTTTAGTCTGTTCCTGGTTTAATTGTTTCATTCTACTCAGTGTCAGAGTAATCAGTATTGTATTTATTGCATGATGAATCCTGAGTCCTCTTAAATACTACAACATACATAGTATCTGCCACTTCCTCCATAGATTTCACTACCCCAACTACAGCTCCACCCGTCAACTCCACTACAGCTCCACCCTTCAACTCCACTACAGCTCCACCCAAAGGTAATTTACTAGTGCATGTGTGAAGGATCTAGTCAGGAGTTCATCTTTTTGGAAGTTCAAGTAAATAGTTTGTTTTAGTATGTGCCCATTTAGATGTGTGTCTGTGTGTGTGTGTGTGTGTGTGTGTGTGTGTGTGTGTGTATACATAATGCAGTGTATTTGACCTTAGTGCTGTGATGTTTGGGTATTTCACAGATGTTCTGACGTTACTCACTAATCTGGAGGTGGAGGTTTTGGCCGAAGAGTCGTCCACTGAAGAAGAGCGTCGGGCTGCACTGCTTCAGGTGAGAGGAGCGTTTCTGACTGTTTCCAGTTCACATACTTGCACTACATGCTAAATGTACTTTGCTGGTGATGGGAAACTACACAGTTTTAAGTATTTGTCAATATTTGTCAAACTATAAAACAAAGCATTAACATCTAGCAAAATTCATGAAACTTCAGCCTCACAGTCGTTCTACAGTCGAGACAGGTGGGGCGTCACGTCTCTTTTAGGCCCCAAAGTGATTCTATTGGCTGAATTAGAATTCTGTCTGATTAGAAATCTTCCATTATTGCTTGTTTTTTTGTTCTGAACCATAAAAGTACATTTTTACTGTGATTTTCTGGACCTGCAGTTTTCTCACTTCCTGTCATCTTTTTTTTTCTCAGGTTGCCACTTTGGTGGAGAATTACTTAAGAAGGTATCATAATGACATCAACTCTTTTGAGGTCACAAGAATTGAGTCGGTATCACCGTGTGATTGAGACAGAAATCAGCCAAGAGGAACAGACATGAATAAACTCTCATCGCTACTGGACTTTTACTATTTTAATATGAGATCTGATTATTTATGGTGATGGTTCAACAAAAGCACTGCAATTGTTGATACATACAATGCTTGTATGTTTAACATTAAAGATCAAAAATTAAATGTTTATGTTTGATGCAAACTATGGAAAGTGAGATTTGAGTTTGCTTTTTGGGGGGAGATTCCTGTCTATTGCTGTATGTTTATTTTTCTCTGTCTGGATTCCTAAATGTTTACCATGCAATTCATTAAATAAATATAAATAATTGGACTTTACCACAATGTGTGAGGTGTTCAGTTCATCAGGAAGCTCTATGCTGTGAGGTTTGGATGCAAATGTCCCAGAACTTTGTATATGAGGCTAGTAAGTAGTGTGTGTGTGTGTGTGTGTGTGTGTGTGTGTGGAGAGAGAGAGAGAGAGAGAGTATTTGCAAAGCAGGTGGATGATTTAGCAGGTTCACAAAGGCACTTTGTTCTCTCTCTTGTTCGATGTTTAGAGGCATTTGACCACAGATGGAGAGGTGCCAGAAAGAAGAACTGCTATCAAGCCTTCCAATGAGTTTGATGACATGAGACAGAACAGCACAACAGACGTCTGTGAATGTCTCCAAACCCGGGTGATCAGTTCCTGAGCTCAACCTGTGATGGCAGTGTGAACACACTGAATGACCACATGATCTACCAACATTCATACACACAAATGAAACATGATTTGGCCCACTTTGCACTACTTCAGTTAAAAAAATCTGATAAAAAACAGATAAAAAAAAAAAAACATTTCCTTCATGCTTTTGGTAGTTATCTGTCTCTGACAGCAGTGTATTTCAGCTGGAGGCATAACATATGATGGGTTATGAGGAAACGATCCGGACCATTAAATGAGGAGTCACAGAGAAGTTGCAAGTCAGAAGATCAATGGCAGAGGTCTGACACACTCTGAATCTGTAGGATGGCTCCCACTGTTCTTCTGATCGGCTGTCTGCTCACCACAATCAGCTGCTTAACCACAGATAACATTCACATCAGCTGCACTGTAATCTGTGTCAGATTTTAATATAGTTTTCAATACAAAATATGATCCACCACTGATTTTATTGATTTTAATTGATTTGAGAGATTTTAAGGACCATCAGGAATGATAATTAAATGCTAAAGAGGTTTCAGAAACAAATGGAATAATTACACTGCACTGTTTCATTCTACAGCTGAAACCACACCAATAACGCTACTATTGCACAATAGTTGTTTTGCAATCTGTAAACACTTCAGATTCTCTGATTGTCTGATTCTCTGATTGTCTTTCATTCCACAGTTCAATCTACCGCAACACCGCCTACTCTGGCACCAAATACAACATCACCTACTCCGGCACTGACTACGACTACAACTACAACAGACACCGCCTACAACAGCACTGATTACAACTACAACACGGCCTACTCTGGCACCAACCACCTACACCAGCACCAACTACAACAACACCAGCACAGACTACAACTACACCACCACCTACACTACCACCAACTACAACTACAACACCGCCTACTCAGGCACCAACCACAACTACAACACCACCTACACCAGCACTGACTACAACTACTACACCACCACCAACTACAACTGCTACAACAACACCATCTACAACAGCACCAACTACGACATCACCTACACCAGCACCAACTACAACTACAACACTGACTGCAACAACAATACCTACACCAACTACAGCTACAAAAGCACATACACCAGCACCGACTACAATTCCAACACCACCTACACGACCACCAACTACAACTACTATTACAACACCATCTACACTAGCACCAACTACTACAACAACACCCTCTACACCGGCACCAACTACAACTACAACAGTGCCTACACCGGCACCAACTACAACACTGCCACAGACTACAAGTACTACAACACCACCTACAACTACTACACCACCACCAACTACAACTGCTACAACAACACCATCTACAACAGCACCAACTACGACATCACCTACACCAGCACCAACTACAACTACAACACTGACTGCAACAACAATACCTACACCAACTACAGCTACAAAAGCACATACACCAGCACCGACTACAATTCCAACACCACCTACACGACCACCAACTACAACTACTATTACAACACCATCTACACTAGCACCAACTACTACAACAACACCCTCTACACCGGCACCAACTACAACTACAACAGTGCCTACACCGGCACCAACTACAACACTGCCACAGACTACAAGTACTACAACACCACCTACACCACCAACAACTACAACTACAACACCATCTACACCAGCACCAACCATAACCATGACACCACCAATACCAACTACACTGCCTACACCAGCACCGACTACAACTACAACACCAAATACACTGCCACTGACTGCAACTACTACAACAACACCTACACCAACACCACATACACCACCACCAACTACAACTACTACAACAACAACATCTACACCAGCACTACACTACCTAACATCTACAACACCACCTACACTAATACCAAATACAACTACAACACCGCCTACTCTGGCACCAACCACAACTACAACACCACCTACACCAGCACTGACTACAACTACAACACCACCTACACCACCACCAACTACAACTACTACTACCACACAATTTACACTAGCACCAACTACTACAACAACACCATCTACACCAGCACTGACTACAACTACAACACCAACTACAACAACAACAACAACAACACCATCTATAGCGGCACCAACTACAACTACAACAGTGCCTACACTGGCACCAACTACAACTAAAACAGCGCCTACACCGGCACCAACTACAACACCGCCACAGTCTTCAACTACTACAACAACACCTACACCACCACCAACTACAACTACAACACTGACTACACCAGCACCAACTACAACACCACCTACAACAGCACCAACTACAACACTGACTACTACAACACTGACTACAACAACACCTACACCAACTACAGCTACAACAGCACCTACACCAGCACCGACTACAATTACAACACCACCTACACAGGCACCAACTACAACTACTACTACCACACCATTTACAACAGCACCAACTACAACTAAAACTACTACAACAACAACACCATCTTCACCAGCACCGACTACAACTACAACACCACCTACACGGGCACCAATTACAACTACAACACTGCCTACACAGCTATGCTGATGATACCCAGATTTACCTAGCCTTATCGCCAAATGACTACAGCCCCATTGACTCCCTCTGCCAATGCATTGATGAAATTAACAGTTGGATGTGCCAGAACTTCCTTCAGTTAAACAAGGAAAAAACTGAAGTCATTGCATTTGGAAACAAAGATGAAGTTCTCAAGGTGAATGCATACCTAGGGGTCTAACAACTAAAAATCAAGTCAAGAATCTTGGTGTAATTCTGGAG